GTACACGAAGAAACAGCATATCTCCTGTAGAAGGAAACTGCAAAGTTTATACTTACTGAATGTAAAGTTCTTTGAGTTTTAAAAGAGGTTCCACTCAGTGGCCAAGCATTCTCCTATTTTAATTACTATATCTAAATATTATTTTCATTTACACAAATGTATTCTCCAACTCAAACCATCCTCCCTTCCACCTTTATCTTGCAGTGAAATAACAAAGTGGACCTCGTGTCACCACAGAAATTGAACAACCTGATAAGAAAAGGAAGTTCCATTACAAGATTCAGACAACACAGAAGCAGAAATACAAAGAAGAGAGCCCAGTTCAACTGCAAGTGCTTATATGAGCAGTACATGTATGGAAAGTATGCCTGACAAAGTAAAAACCTTTTCACAGATAATTTCTCCTTAAGAACAAGGTAATTTGGATGGGAGATTTTTTCACTGGAACCATTTCCATTGTGCCAGTTACGTCTTCATAAAAAGGGCTTATAAAATCTTGAGAAAATACACTTTTTAGGCCATAGCAAGAAAAAAAAAATCAGCATTGTGTCACAAAGTGACTGAGGCTCCACCTGCCAGGTAGCTACAACTGAACATCCATCCATTCAGAGAGCACAGGTACAACTAGCATGACCTGGTATAATGAAATAACAAAACAGTAAGTGGCTGCTTCACTGATGAACTGAATGTGAGATTCCATGATTAAACGTTCTCCATTACCCTATTAGCAAATTCAAGACCCTCCAAAACCTTGAATGACAATTGTTAAGCATACCACTGTTTCTTATCAGAGCAGGCTAAGGAAGTGTATCAGATAACTCTTGATAACACCAAAAGAAGTGAGGGGAAGTTGGATATTTATTATTTGTTGTCAAAATAATTTTCTGCTCAGAAACTATGCTTTAAAAAAACTTGCACAGACGTAAAACAAAAGTTTACTGATGACAGGCTAACATTTTCAGCTAAATGAGATTTTATACATAAAATCATTGGGGACACTAAATGGTATACCTTTTAGAAACACTGACTGCCTGCAAACTCTTCAGAGAGAGTCAGTGGAAAGAAATTCCACCCCTCTGAACACAAGGCAATTTTATCTAGCCCCTCAAGCAAATGGTCCAAGAATTTAACCTAGAAACTCACAGTTACAATCTGAGCACTGTAAATTTTTTTTGCAATTAAGATTTTGTTTTTTAATAACAGAAGCAGATCTATCCCCACTGCCTATAGCTTGAGAAGAGTGTCATCTAGTGGATGATACCTGTGGGCACTATTTACTGGTTTCTTGATGCTTTTTATTTAGGCCCCTTTCATTAAAATCCAAAATGTTAAAGCTACTTTAGAAAAATTATTTTAAATAATTTTAATTTGTTTTAAAAGTAGAAACACTAAGTTTTAATGTTAATATATCTATCTTGAGCAAGCAATTTCATTACAGTAGCCTGCATCTCATTCATTAAATACACTACCTATTACATCTAAACCTGTCCTGCAGAACTTCAGGGACAGAATCTTGTCTTTGTATTTGCACAATTAATCATGCAAACCATCTGGGCAACAGTGATCTGTCATTCAACGGTCTGCATGAAATGAGATTTCAGTACACTTCCTAATGGACTTACTTGCATATCACGAAGAATATCATTACACAGACTGACTTAAAATGACAAGCCACAATCTTGCTGAGATCACAGTACTGTTCAGAGAGCTCCATGAAGGTTCAAAGTTCTTTAAAATCTAAATCCTCTTTGTCATGACGAGACTGAAAGCTGCACAGAACATGTTCTCTGCAATGAGGGCAGAGACCCATGTGGTGGAAAGTCCCTGCTTGTTCTCAGCTTTGGTTCACAGAAATTTGTATCCAGTGTTTTTCATAAGCAATAAGTATTGCTAGAGAGAAAAGCAAACCAAACAAATTATTTTCAGACTTTCTAAATAAGTCTGGTATGTTTTCAGTTAATAGCTGGCTAGAGTTGAATTGAATTGCTACGCAACTGATGATAACAATTTCCAGACTTACTATGGCCATTCTATCTATTTGTCCTAGCATCTGTGTTCTGACAAAGCTGAATGACGGACACCATCTGCATTGTTACAGCTTTTTCTTACACAGGAGGAAAAACAAATTACAGAAAACAATGGCACATCTTAGAAGACCAGCCTAAATTCTGATCACTCTTCTCAGTACTGCTATTAGATTGAACTGTCAGGTTAGAGAATAAGTAATAAAACCATGAAAGTTCGTGGAAGCAAAAAGCTCCCTGCCCTTAAGTAAGATCTGCTAGGCAGAATGACAAAAGAGAAGGGCCTTTTAGCAAAACAAAATTAGCCAGCTTTATCCAGTATCTTTCAAGAAGAAGCACAGCATTACAGTCAGTATGACAGCTACAACTTAGCAACTCTCAGACATAAAAAGAAGCAGGAATACAAACACTCTTCCCAGGCTTTCTGATAGAGACTTTTGAGTTTCGAATAAAAATAGTGCCAGCTACATGTTTCCGTTAACCCCTTTAAAGTAAGTTATTAAATGAATATTTGCCCTCTTACCTGAAGTGTTTAGAACAACAAAACCAAAATCTCTTCTACTTACCATCTGTTAATAATACAGGATTATAGAATCACAAGAAAATTCAAATTAGAAAGAGAAATCGGATCTCCAGGCCAACATCCTGTTCAAAGTAGTGCCAGCTATGAAGTCAGAACAAGTCACCTGCGGCTTTATCTCATCATATTTTGAAAGCCTCCAAGGAAAGAGGCAGCACAACCTCTCTGGACAACCTTTTCCAATTCCTAACCATCCTTATAGTGAAAAAGCTTCTCCATGTATTGGTACAGAAATGGATTTCAATGTACACCTGCTGTCTCCCTGCCATGCACCACTGTGTCATCTTCTTGATGGCCTCCTCATCGGAAGGGGAAGGCTGCTGTTAGGTCGCCCCAAAGCCTTTTCTCCTCTAGACTGAGCAAGCCCTCAGTCCCTCCACAAAGGGCAAGTGCTCCAGACTCCAACCATCTGAGCAGTCCCTTGCTGAACTCCCTGCAGTTTGTCATGTCTTTCATACCAAGAGCCCAAAATTGGACACAGGATCTAGATGCAGTACCAAGTAGAAGGGGGCAAGATGTATGCACGTGTTGGTTATCACTCCTTCCATGTTAACTGACTGATTAACTGTTGAAATAATTCTGCAGTATTTCATTAAAGGTAGCTCTAATTTACCTTAATTAGCTACCAACTCTTCTAAACCATGAGGAATTTGATGTTTTGGAGATGTCTATTTCTTTGTCACTCTTGTTTGGAATTAGTGAGTTCAAAAGTATAAGATATAGCTCATCTTCTGAAATTGCATTTAGCTATCATTTCCAACTGAGCATAACATAAATCATCCTTAGTAATAACATTACTTTAACTATGTTTCCTTTCTACATCCTATTTTCAGCAGTTTCATTTGCACATTCACCTGTGTTCCTTTTCTTTAAGCATTCACTTCTAAGCAACAAGTCTTAACTCACCCATCAGGTCCTGCCTTTTTTTACTATGTTTCTGTGAACTGAAATAAAATTAAGTGGTATGTAAGAAGGGAAGCATATATCAGATGAATGCTTAATAACTACCATAGGTATTTATTTTATAAGTGTTTAATTATTGCTGCGGAAAAAATAATTGAAGGCTCCAAGATAAAAGGTGCTAAAGAAGTTGAAAGTGTGATTTTAGAATTTTTGATCTTACCTTTCAGCACTGAATGCAGACTCTGTATCAATGTATATAACAGCCCCATCTAGTCCTCCCATGCTTACAGGTAGTGTAGTCAGAACACTCATCATAATACAAAACTGAGTTTTGCCACAACCTGGTGGGCTAGTTATCTGGAAGAAAAAAAATTAGTAACAAACAACAGATGTCACATTCATTTCACCCTAATTTTACTTTTAACTACAACCCATGAACCACAACTTCTCATTCTGCTCTACCAGATACCAAAAGAGACAGCCACAAAAAAACAGAATGCAACTTGCAGTTACTCTTGGATCTGTGCCTTGCAGTCAAGCTCATTCACTGAAGAATAAACAGCTCTTCAGACACATTATGCTTATACTTTATTTCTTCAACATTCTTTGTTACCTCTCATATCTAAGAGCCCCTACTCTTTCTTCCCTTGCTCTTACAAGATCTTCCCTAGAGCCACATCTAGTTCTCTTCCATCTCCTTCTCTGTGCTGCCTTCTAAAATAGGGCAGAATTAGGAGATTCTCTGTTGATAGTCGTATGACATCAATGGCCTTAGAGCTGAAAACAAAGTCCAGAGCTAATGAGTTCACAGATGTAAATGACTGCTTAGAAACCATCATTACCTTGGTTACAACCAGGTCTTACTTGGAAATCACAAGGATGATAGCTTATATCCTGCAAAAAACTGAATGTTCAATATGAACCACATATATACATAAGATAGATTTTGTCTTCCCCAGAGACTACCCTCAGCTATGCAGCATGTGTTTTATCATTGGTGTTAACCTCCTATTACCATATTTCAACATGAACACCATCTAATGATCCAGACAAGTCTGAATTTTAAGCTTTCACCTGTACTTACTGAAAGTCTACTGCAGTTAAGCAGTATTAAAAAAAAGCACACTCAACTTGTATGAAATGGTTCCAGTATGATTTGATACAAGAGAAAAAACACACAGATCAAAAGTATACATTGTTTGACAAGATCCCCAGCTTCTGAGGGCAAGATTTCTCTACTAGAGATGGAAGTATGCTGGTCTTTATCCACTGCAGATCTTGCAGAGGGTGCAAATGAATGCTAGGCTCTGTGTTCAATCATATTTTCATTACTACTACAATGGGTCTTTAAACACGATATTGTCACTGCTTCTGGGAAGGGAGATGATGACATTTTAAATACTAAGAGGGCTGAAAAACAGCAAATACAAAGTTGAAGTGACTTGAGGCACTAAAAACAGAGTGATGGATTCATTCTGATGCTAGCAGGGACTAAATAATAATGCAAGATAAAAGTAAGCCTCTCCAGGGAAGTTAAACTGCAAAATAAAGCATACCTTATCAAAACACCTAGTACTGCCAAAACAAAGGCTTAAATACAGAGCTGTTGGTTTACATTAAAAAAGAAACCTTACACAGACACACACTCAAACTGATTTTGAGCCTAAATGCACAATAGTTTGTTTTTAAGTACAAACACCCTTTCACCACAAGATACTAGAGTATCACTATGGTTTCATTTTAAGCAGCAGCAGCATGACTCAGAGCACAAAAAATTTACAGGGAAACACTGACCATTAGCTACAGTTACACATTAGCTACAGTTAACTGTTGGTTAAAATCCCTTTAATCACTTTTGTCTTTAAACAAGGCCTGAAAACCAAGCCATTATCAGTCAGCCTACTAGAAGCTTTAGTGCAAGAGAAGCATTATATAATTTTTGTTTAGAAGCACACACTGCCTTTAGTGAATAACAGATGAGGAATCAGTCATATTTATGCAATTATCAGTCCTCCTTCCAGTGTACTTAAAATTACAAAATACGATATCAGCAATAGGTGTCACATTTTAATATGAACCCAAAGCATATACTAAAAATTGCAAAGGCAATACACATTCCTTAGACTGGAATAGCCAAGGAATCTCACCAGCTGTTTCTAGTTTAAAAGAAGTCTTGAAATGAATGGGGGGGCATCAATCCAGTTGTTAAATTAAAATGTTTGGGCAGCTATGAAGAAACCTCATAAAAATGTCTGTAGTTTCAGCCTTGCCTGGGAGGTATATTGGAATCAACATTTATTTCAGTGGCTGATGCAGGAGCTAATTCAGCAGAGATGCTGTAAAAATGTCAGAGGGTATGAGCATCATATCAGAAAAAGACGGAGTTCTTGCTAGTACAACGAAGCAATCCAGTGAAGAAAGAGAATTTCCATTCCCAAAGACAACAATACTTCATCTTTTATCAGCATTCCTTTAAAAGGTGTTAAAATTGGATTCTAAATAAGCCACGGTGAGCAACTGTAAAGGACGACCACATCTTATTGTGGTTACTAGTGGTTCAGCAAGTGTTTTGAACAATACAATCTCAGTTAAAAAAACTAAAATGCCACTAATATAATTTAAATTGAATGTCTGCAAAAGGTTTGCTCAGTTTGTTTTACCCTAAATTTGCTCTGCAAAAAAATCAAGTCTATCCAGATAGAAACGTGAAGACTACAAGTCTTTAATTTACCTCTGCCTAATAAAATATACTTTTATTTTTTCCCCAATAAGTTATATATTATTTTCTCTGGCACATCTGTAGGGCTTGGATGAAGTCACAAGGAGCTAATTCTTCAGCAACCAGGGGATTAAATTCTTCAACATTCACAAAGTCATTACTTTAATTTTTCCTCAGAGGAGTTGGCCAAAAGTTCTGACATCTGACCACAAAATTTCAGCTATGATTTAATTTCCAACTTAAGACCCAATAGTGGTTTGGGAAAAAGTGGTCCGAGACAGTGTAATGCAAATCAAATCCCTCTGGCACTCAAAAAGCAAGCAGTTTTGGCTGTATAAGATACCACCACAAGTCTTAACCCTGTGGCTCATGTACCCAAACTCCAAGTTTCCAACCACCCTCACTGCTGGGTAAAGTAACAGGAAGACAACAATTTAGCCACACCAGTCAGGCAGCAAATGCTGCACATAACATACTTTTGAAGAGAACTTCTCTCAGACTTAGAATATCTGCCTAATAAAAATACCAAAGGGCAATCTGCTGGCCCGCTATGCTCCAGTAAGTTGCAAAAGGGCAAATTAAAATGAAGTTCCAAAATCACTTGAATCCAAAAGGAACACGACCTGAAAGTGTTCACAAGCTGCAGCACAGCATCAAAGCTTCAGCAGCAGACACTTGATAGCTTTCTACTAAAATTTCATCTAACAATCATGCTGAAGAACACTTGCAGCACTGCCAATCTTTGAAACTATTTCAGATCTCATGACTCTTGCAAAAGTGCTTTTAAAAATTTTTCAGAACCAAGCTTTAAATGAGAAAATCAGTTTCTGCATAGTTAATTGCTCTCTGCCTTTCCTGTTTCCTGAGAAACCCCTAATCCATGTCCTAATTGTTTTCCACGTTTTTCCACATTCTCCACCGAAAAGGCAAATAAAAAGCAGTACACTTTTTTTATATACTTCTAATCTCTTAAATTAGTCAACTAATTTCTTGAGTCTACCTAGTTCTCTGTAGTATATTTCCGATTAAATAGTTATTCTGCATCAGCATTGTCAGTCCAGCACGAGGGTGCAACCAAGACCAAACTACTGGTGGAAGGATGAAGTCCTTGCAGTTCTGGTCTAATCCACTAGATGCCTTGAACAGACTTCAACATCTCACTTTTTTGGTGAGATCACCACTTAAAGGTAACTGCATTAGACAGGTCTCTGCATTTTTAATCAAAACATGTTAAAATATAAAAAACTTAACATACAAAAGTTTTTTTCAGAAGGAAACGTGAAGTGCAACACCTTTCCTGGCACACTGCTTTTCATTTACAAGCAGATAGAAGTTCAGCCTATCTTTTGAATATATTCATGTCCCCCGACTACCTTTAAATAGATTGATACATATGGAGCGTGACCATTCTTAAAACAGAGTTTAGCAACAGTTTCCCAGATTTTCTTTTATCCAGAGATAAATGTTTTAAGGTAACACTGAAAAAAAGATTAAAAATTTAGTATTATGATAATTAACCAAACCATATGTATTGCAAAATACATAGCTCTGCAAAGTCAAGCATTTGCATTTACTTCCTGAAGAGTATTACTTTATACCATCTCAGCAAAATTATATTTGACATCCATGTTTTGTTATCAACTGCTTGCAGAAGTTATATTCAAATAAAATTTAAAAACAAACAAACAAACAAAACACCTTAGAAGTCAAAGGTTAGCTAAACTCCAGGAAAACTCCCAGCACATCAATGACTGCTTTTCCCAAATCTTCCTCTGGAGCAACACCAAGAACATGGCAATCGGCAGACAAAGTCTATCAGTGCTCCAGAGCCATTCTACCTGGTCTTCAGGCAAGAATGTGTCAGATAGACTGCACTGATAGCTGAATGATAGCTATGCTTAGGATTAAGAAAAAATACAAATATTCATGACATTGTTATCAGCAGCCTTTTAAATTAACTGTGTGTCTCTTCTGACCCAAAAGGATCATATCCATTAATTTTTTTAATTAAGAAAAAAAACACTCCAGGATCCGTTAGCACAAACTTTTACACTCTGGCCATCTTTTACTCAAGTCACAGGAAGGAGGGCAAAATAGATTGGGTTATCTGGGTTGGCCTATCAAAGGGTGACATCCTTGTTTTGGGTACCAGTCATGAGCCAGTCACAGGCTCAAGGATAAGTCAGCATATCACCAAAAAGACACATCTCTATTCTACTTCCTTCTCCTATCTGTGTAGCAGTGGTTCTATATTCCAACTACAGAAGCACAGTACAGAAGTTTAAGAAGCATTAAGCATGGGAAAAGCCATTCTCTGCCTCCACCAAGGAGAAGTTAGTGGACCAGAGGGAAATCCCTGAAAGCCAGCAGCTCCTAGCCACAGGGTAGCATAATTTATTTTCAAACACAGGCTGTGCTATTTTCACTGTATCTATGTATCTGTTCTATGTATCTGTTCTATGTATCTGTTGTCAGCTGACTGCACGAACAATAATCCAAAAGAGAGGGAGTCAAACTACACCTAGTTTGGCCACTGCTTTGCTAAGAAAAATATTTTTAGGAACCAAAAACTCATCTCCTGCTCAAGGCACTATGCTCAACAGCAGCATAGTTACAATTTCAGGATCCTGTATATCCCACTGCTACTTATAAGAACAGCTCTTCTTCAATGAAACAGAATTTAGCAAGTCTTTTCTCCCAGAATTTAAAGACAGTAGCACTAATCTTAAGATTAAGGTCTTCTGATTTGATTTCCTTACAGTAAATTGGTAATAAAACCAGGCCTGAATATGAAGAAAATATTACTTCTGATAGGTTAATGTAAGTTCATGGAGGCATTCTTAAATGTTTTTCTGAAGACCTAAATGGTGTCCTGTACACTGTATACAAAAAGAAATACTCTGAATCTTTAATAAGTAATACCCTCTCATTACATAAAAGTTTACTAGAGCTGAAGCTGTTATAGTGTAAACTCTGTGTTGCTCAAACTCTAATATGTTTAAAGTCACTATCAGATTTCATAAGTGATTTCTATGAGTTAAACAACATTTTTGATTGTAGGATGTGGAAAAAAATATATTTTTCCTCATAGAAGATTTTCATAACTACTCACTTCTCTACCGAGGCAAATTGCCACAGTAGACAAAAGAAAAGGACTTGGTAAGGACTGTTAAAGTGTTCAAGGAAAAAAATGGTTTTGACCTGTCTAAATTCAGAGCATGAGACATGCTATGTATTTTTCCACTCATTTCAAGTGCATAGCTGAGTTCAGAACTTTAAGAAGGCAAGTATGGGCACATTTTATAAAAACAATGTCCATCCAACTCTGGATTCTGTCTCTTCCAAGGGCCTACAACAGATGGCTAGGGGAATAAGACAAGAACAGGGCACAAATATATATATTGATATTCCCTCCAATATATATGTTACTCCATCTCCATTTGTAGCTCAGCAAACTCCTAAACCAGAGATTGTGTCTTTGTATTTTTATAATACTCAGTGACTCTTATGAGCATCTACACAAATCCTGCTTTTCAGATTAGAGAAACTATGCAACTTATTACCACTTTTTGTGAGGCCATAGAGAAATCCAAGTACAAAAAGATGAAGTACTTCCTTGTTCTTAAAAGAAAAATCAAAGCCAAAAAGTAGCACTGCATCCAAAGGTCACAGTGACAGTTATAGCTCTATATATATGCACAATTTGTAGTTTTGCTAGGTATGCACACATAATACAGGCCCTAATTAGTATCTTTTTTAAAAAGAATGTGTTACGTATTTATTGCATAAGTTAGTTACATTAATGTAAAAAAGCTCTGTAAAGCTACTGTCATGCCTTTATGCTTCACACTTTTGTCCTAATTGCTTATTGTACCTTCATGAAAAGTAATGACTTGGCAAAGTCAGAGTGAATCAGTATTAAAAGGACAGACTCCTGATTTAGCACCTTGTGCTCTGACCATGAAACCACACTGCAACTTTCCCACTGTAAAATCCAGTCAACAATTCTCCCAAATTTCCTGGGAAAATTTTCACTTTTTTAAAGGAAAATAGTCACCAAATTTTTTAATTCATTCATTTTCTTATTTACCTGACATACTGGGGAAAAAAAACCAAGCAAACACCACCACAACAACAAAGTGCACTCTGCCAAAATTTGTGTATTTTGTGTTTAAAGCACCAACAAAAGACAGCCCAACCTATCTGTGACCTTTGACTTCTAGTTGTGATGTGTGACTGCAGTCAAATATATAAAACAAGTTACTTCTGTGAGGGATCCACAGGGCACTCCACCATGCAAGACTTTATCCAAACCATGCAGCGTGGTGGATAAAAAGGTTGAAGAAGGATCGACAGACTTCCTCAGCTTCAGTTCATAAGCCTGCAACAGTAGAAAAAAAAGCACAAAAGAAAAGAAACATATGAGAAAACATTTTTTAAATGGAAATAGCAAACTGCTCACATTTGCTTTCATCAACCCAGAATGTCTTAACAAATGAGCCAACTATTCCTATCTTCAGATATAGTCTTTTCTTAGCCCATCGCCCTTCCTTGCCTTTATATCCCACTTATAGCTCAGAGAGTAAACTTGAAAGTTTGTTGTATCTCCCTCACCACAGTATTAAATGACAGTCTTTTATAATTACAAGTCAAAGCTTTTCTATGCTCCTATTCAACAAGGTTTGCTTTTAACCCATAGAACTCCGACTTTTAAATAAGGAAACATTATGTGTGTGGCTAGTGACCAATGCAGAACATTCACATGAAACTTAAAATCAAGAAATCCCTGGCTAACATTTGTTACCAACTTGAAAATATCCGGGTTCAAGGAAAGGTTTGCTAAAGATTCCCAAGCCTTTGAACAAGCCTGGACTGATCCAGTAGCCATTCATAATTTTCCACTTTTGCAAGGAAAACTAGTCAAGAAGACAGAATGAGTACAAAACTGATAAGAGCTGAATTCCTAGTCCCTCCACTGACTAGAAGAAATGGCCCAAGATCAGAATTCTGTTCATAATTATTTTAATTTTAGGAATCAATTTCAACCAGACAAAGAAGAAACACAGAATGGTAATGCTGATCTTGAAACACAAAAACATGATGTTTCCAAAAGCAACAGATCTTGCTTGCACCTTGCTAAAACTGACACATTCCTTAACCACTGGGCGTCCTGAACATCAGAAGTCTGATTTTAAAAGGAACAGTCCAAGGTCTAGAGGTTGCTGCTCTAGTCACAGTTAAGAGTTTCCAGACAATCTTTTCCAATGGTAGCTTCTTACTTTCTAAAGATTTTCTTATTACTTCCCATTTCAGGGATTCATTTTTTAATTTATCTTCCAGCCACTGGATCTTGTTCAGATAGATTCTAGCGGCCTCTAATACAATTTTCTACTCAGTGTATAGTGTGATCCAATCACCCTCCAAATTCCCCTCCGATAAGGTCAGTAGGCTTTACTTCATACTGCGAGGCAAGTTTTCCAGAAATCAGTTTTACTGTATATCTTAGCATACTCTCAAGTTTTACTGCCAGTGCTTCCAGTGCCACATCTGGACAGTATTTTCCCCTTGTTTGTAACTCCTATTATCTAAATTATTTATTTTTTTTTACTCAAAGATATTGTCAAGATATTATTAGTCATGATGTTACATCAGTCATTCTGACTCTAAGTCCATTTGAAATCCTGTCTTTGCAAAGACTCAATCCACATCCCTCAAAAATAGATAACATCCTCTGTTTCTGGAAGTGGAGCTCTACTGCATGCACTTACATATTTGGTCATCTATCAGCTGGCCCTGTATTAACAGGCCTTGGCACCTGCTGTCTGACAAACTTCAGTATCTGCCAAGCTTCTTGGCAAAGATCTATTTTATTCCAGAAATTTGATTGAACAGTGATGTATGAATGACAGGCAAAAGCAAATGCTACAACTCTACATGTAAAGTAAAATTCCATCTGTCTTCAATTTATTGATGATTATTAACAGTTAATTCAAGGAAAACTAGTAAATAGCTAGCTTTTAATCCATTCAGTATAAGCCACATTAATTCTGCATATCACTAACTTTAACGCAGTGTGTGTGTGAATTCAAAATTTCACTGAGTTACTGCAAGACTTACTATGCCAACTATACATAATACATTTTGACATGGATTACTTCTTCAGAAAAAAAAACAGGCTGCATTGACACAGGTCAGAACTGTTCATGTCCTCTCTGTTCTAAAAGTACATCATTTTGGAAATCTTTTCACCTGAATTCAAAAAAGAAAAAAAATCTAGCCACTGCATTGCAGCTAATATCTGTTTCCTTCTTGCACTCTCTCCCATTAGGCTACCTGTAGCTTAAACCACACAGCAGCTCGTTTACATGGACAGAAAAAAATCCTCAAAAAGTTATTGTCAGGATCACTTAACTTCTTGGCACCAATTTTATGTCTAAAACCAATTTATACTGAAATTCTTATCCTTTGCTTGCATTAAACAATATTTTTTTAGTTGCAGGGTACAAACTAGAAGCAACTTTTATATGCTGGATTGCAAGAGAGAATGCCATCTTTTCCTATTGCACTCAGAACAAATTCTGCAAGCCTGAACAATCTCTTGAGGCTGTAATGCTTAATAAGTGTCACTGCATCAAACTAAAGTGCCTCAGAGATCTAAATTTAAGAATAAAAGCATTATTTCATTGTGCAATCAAACTGCAACCTCAAAACCTCACAGGTAACAAGATGAGTGACACTGTTTAGCTTTTTCACAGATATTGATAAAACCAGAACTAGCACAAGCATACTTACTGTCTGCATTTTTGGAGCACAAGCTCGGCTGACTTTGCAAATAAGCTTCTGCACATCATAGTAGCTCTGTCCCGTCACTTTCATTAGCTCCAAGACAGAAAGACACAAAAAGTCCTGAAAGACGATAAAACAGTTCAGAGAGCTCAACCCAGAAATCAAGACTGAGGACTAAACTAACCTAAAATTTATATACAACTAGTATAGATTCCACAGGTTTACCAACTGTGCTATGTTATACACTATTATGCTATACCTCTCCTACCTTTCTCGATACCAGTATATTAGAGGAAATTGTATTCATATTTTAAAGGACATGGAGTCAAAGGACCAAACATTCAAGGACTGTGTGATGGAACTGCAACAAGGTAAAACCTTTTTGCCCACAAAAGTCTCTATCTACCTGAAAAACATTCAAATTACACCACACATTCTAGACTGCAGTCCTAGGGCTAGATCCTATATTTATCATGCCTACTACTGAAATATATAGGGCCTCTTGGCTTTTTAGGCAGGCATTCATAAGAACTACTTCAGAATGTTCTGCTGAATCAAACCATAACTGATAGTAGCAACACAGCACATTCACATACTAGATTATGTAGTATAAATGCTTTTGTGAAGTGTTCGTAAATGGATGCCTTACTCCATCCAAGTAGTATCTGCACACCCTTGCTAAAATAAAGCATCTTCAGGTTCTTTAGAAGGGAAGGTAGTAAGTGCATACAAGGTTAAATGTTACTAGATTATGTAGTATAAATGCTTTTGTGAAGTGTTCATAAATGGATGCCTTACTCCATCCAAGTAGTATCTGCACACCCTTGCTAAAATAAAGCATCTTCAGGTTCTCTTTAGAAGGGAAGGTAGTAAGTACATACAAGTTTAAATGTTTTAGTTAGGCATTTATCGGTTTAAAGCTATATTTTCACAAGGTAGCAGGCTAGATAGAGCATGAAATGTCCTCTACTTTATAGAAAGTAAAACTCCCCGTAAATTAAACTACAAAAAAGTAAGCAAGATATGCATTAAAATACAATGCCCCCCAAAAAAACCCAACCCCTAAAAGACAACCCCCACCATAAACATAACCTTTCACCTGACAGGTAGTGATCTGATGGCGACTCAGCCTTTCACACAGCTCCTGAGACAACTTTGCTCTTCTTAGTTTCTTAGCAGCCATACTCCCCAACCTACAGGGCAAACAAAAAAAATTTTTTGAAAGAAGCTTGGAATACAACTACGCAACTACACTCACTCCTTGCTAAAAAAACAGGGAAGCATGTGTGTATGTGTACATACAAATAATTTAATGTGATAGACTTCCCATATAAGCCTATGTCATATTAAATTATATCACCACTCTGAAAATAGTTGTGTTAAATTGTATCTCCTCATATTTGACCATGTGCGAGATCATGCCAGTACGAACAGAAGACTCAGCAATGCTTATAGTACAGAGGTTTCTGGGACATAAGAAAGCTGGTAATTACTCAGTGGTGAGCTGAGCAAGAACTCCTTATACTACACTGCACTGGAGAGAAATAAGGTTATCTTTGGATGCCTAAACACAAATAGTAATCATAGTAAGTATTTAGCCCTAAAACACATAGTGCTAGAACAAAATGCTCCATTCTGGTGACCCAGGACTCATGATTTATGTTGAAAGAACAGGAAGGACCTGGAAAAGAGGATGCCTAAACACAAATAGTAATCATAGTAAGTATTTAGCCCTAAAACACATAGTGCTAGAACAAAATGCTCCATTCTGGTGACCCAGGACTCATGTTGAAAGAACAGGAAGGACCCGGAAAAGAGACATCAGAAAGACTGAAGGGCCAGAAACATAGTTTAACATGCAAGACTCAAGATGGTCAAACTAGTCAAACCCATCTCATAACATTCTCTGTAACAATTTATGAAACAAACACAGTTCATAAAGAATTCTTTCATTGTGCCAACAGCATGAAAGAAACCCAAGGCCAAAAGCTAAGCATATGAGGAGAACTACAGTGTAAATATTATCTTATTCTAAAAGCAAACGAAAATAACACTGACCAAGGCAGCAACAATCACGGTATATTCAGTTATTTAAGCAAATTGTATTGATTGAGATTCCTACTTCAAGAATATCTGATTGCTTCAGATAAGCCTTAAGACTATGTTATGTAGCGGACAAGATTATACTGCCACTATGAATCCTGCTTCCCTCAGCCCTCAGTTATTTGCAGTTGTCCCATTTTTTTTTGTCATTCCAGTCTACTGAACAGAACTCCACAGGAGGGTATTCAGGTCGAACAATCCAAAGCACACATTTTCCTAACTTACAGGTATGTTGAAGCACACAGCTGTTTCACACACATTATTAGGCAATATTCTGTGTGTTTATTTAGCCAGGTTAGGTGAAATATAAAGGTTTTTAAATAATACAAAATTGATACAACTTTTGGAGAGGCACAGGCCTCCACATCCTCACCAGATGGAAACTTTATTACGCTCTCTACAAAACCCTCTTCAGCCAAGGGGAGGAAAACCAAACGTCAGAAGAGCTCGGTGTCCTCAGAGCCCCCAGCTGCACTGACCGCCGTTTCCCACACAGACCGCACACCGCGCCTTCTGGCCTGTCCATACACCGCATACTGCAGCTGCACAACAGCCCGTGGGCCCGGGGGCAGGGGGGCGAGGACACCCGTGAGGGGGAAACACACACGTCTGTCGGACTTACACCGGGTGTCACGGCGCTGCGGGAGAGCTTGGCACCACCGCTTCGGCCGGAATGAGAAAATGAGCTCCCGTCCCCAGCACCTGAAGGGGAGCAGCGGCTGAGCCCTGGTCTGGCCCGGCCCCTTCGCCCCCGGAACCCC